CCTAAAGTCCTGAGCCGAGCGGAGAGTGGATTCCTCACACTCGACACATACGCTTGCGCGAGCACTTTGTTCGGGACATGGTGAATCGGGGCGATATCTCACTCTCGCATGTGGGAACCAGCAACATGGTGGCCGACATCTTCACAAAGGCTCTTGGCCCAAAGATTTTCTCGACACACTGCTACGCACTAGGCCTTCGCACTCGATGTGAAGAGTCCACTCTCAGCTCGACAGGGGCGCCTCGGTCGTTGCGCGCACTTGCTAGCCCGCCCCCGGCGGTGGGGACTTAGACGCGCGCGACTGCCTCAGCGCGCCAGCGCCGGCGGATTCATGCGCGCGCCCGCTAGCCCGCCCCCTTGCGGTGGGGACTTAGGCGCGCCGGCGATTTCACCCGCGGCTGACTTAGGGATGTACATTGTCACGCGCCTGGGACTATCCCAGCGTGGCCCCCCCTTTCTGTTTCTTAGCTTCCTTCTCATCACTTCTGTTCGACTCTCAACCTCTCCTGACAGTAGTGGTGAACGTCTCATAGGTACGCTGAAATAGATCACTTCTGTTCGACTCTCAACCTCTCCTGACAGTAGTGGTGAACGTCTCATAGGTTATAAGCCCACGAGCCACCAGCTGGCATGACCACGACACCACCCCTCGCGACGGGTGCCAACCCTCCGATTCCCGCCGAACAGCTCGCCGCACTTACATCGCTGCTGTCGGGTCTCACCGCTGCCGCTTCCGGCACTGCCACACCCGCCACGACGTCCGGCACCACTCGCACTGCCTTTCCAAAGCACGCACGCTTGGATGGTGCGAAGACCTTCGCGAACTGGACACGCCAACTTCGCCTGTGCCTAGCGGACGACATCCGCTCGTACGTCCTCGACGGTATCGCACCCGACGACTGGACACCTTCGCAACGCTCCGCTCGCGACGCCGTCGCTCGTGAGGTCCTTGCGAATTCGATTGACTCGGCCGAAGTCTCGGCAGTCCTCGACAAAAATCCCTACCGCCGACCTGACAGCGCCGACAATCTACTCGACGCTGAAATCGCGGTACGCCCCTGACGACGCCACCCGCACGCTCGAGCTCTTCTCACGACTCTGGGGTTTCCGTCCCATGCCCGGCACGGTTGCCGAATTCGACGGGTGGATCATGGACTTCAAAGCCGTTGCGCAAGAGATCATCGACACAAAGACAACTATCAATGATGTTCTCGCCACACTCCTCCTTGCAATCGCCCACCCGTCCCTCGAGAGCTTCAAGGCGTCGTTCACCGATGAACAGCGCACGCAACGAACTCTCCCCGACATTGATTCGCTTGCCGACCGTATGCGAGTCCAACTTCGGTCAACGAACATCCCCAGCACTCAATCGGCCCTTCTTGCCTCGTCGTCGTCACGTTCTACTCGTCTCAAGTGTCTCGCCTGTCGCAGCCCTTCGCACCGAGTCGCGGAGTGCCCTACGAGGGCGCAACACCCGCCGCCAGGACCCTGTCGCTCCTGCAAGAAGAAGGATCACTGGTCTCTCGACTGCAAGAAGGCGCTCGAGGACGGCAAAAAGCCCGACACCGCTGACTCGACCGTCGACTCGCAACACCATGTCGGATGTCTCGCCACCGGTCTTCTCGCTCGTCGTCGCCAGCTTCGCAACCACTCTTTTGTCGTCGACTCGGGCGCCACTTCGCACATGGTCTCGGACAAGTCGCTGTTCACGACCTATCGCCATATCGCTCCTACGAAGATTGGTGGTATTGCAGGGGGCATCACGCCATCGGAACGGGAAACATCGCCTTCATTGCCGCCTCGGGTCATCCGATCACGCTTACCGGCGTGCTGCACACTCCGGGCCTGTTTGTCAATCTTCTCTCGGTCTCTCGACTTTGCGACACCGACGATGTCCGTGTCGCCTTCACAAAACACGGCATCCACATTGACAAGGACGGCAACGACATCGCTGAAGGCGCACGACTCGACGAAGGGCTCTACTTGCTGGACGCTGATCATTCCAAATGTCAGCACCTTGCTCTCCTTTCTCGCTCACAGTCGTCCGTGCCCCTGCTGACTCTCCATCGCTGCCTCGGCCATCTCGCACCGTCCTCCATACAGAAGATGGTTGCCGCTGGTTTGCTGGAGGGTCTCAGGGCCGGATATAGTGACGAAGAGGTAGAGAAGTTTGTCTGCAATGCTTGCCTCAGCGCAAAGGGCCATCGTCTTCCCTTTCCCGATTCGGATTCGCACTCCTCAGAGAGACTCGGCCTTGTACACAGCGATGTGCTTTCCTTCCCCGAGCGGTCCTTGACTGGCAAACGTTACCTGGTCACATTCCTTGACGATTACTCGCGCAAACTCTGGGCCTACGCAATCGGACACAAAAGCGAAGTCTTCGGCATATTCAAAACTTGGCTAGCCGAGGTTGAACTCGAGACGGGTGCGACGCTGAAGGTCCTCCGAACCGACAACGGTGGCGAATACTGTTCGAGAGCGTTCACAGAGTTCTGCAAGACACGAGGCACCCGTCGACAATACTCTATCCCACGCACGCCTCAACAGAACGGTCGTGCAGAGCGGTCAATCGTTCCATTGTCGAAGGCGTCCTTGCCCTCCTTGTCGACGCCCACCTACCCAAGACATTCTGGGAGGAGGCTGCAGCTTATTTCGTTTACTGCAAGAACCTGTGTCAACACGCGGCCCTGGACAAGGCAACACCAAAACTCCGTCTGGCAGGGTGACCACACCACTGCCTCGGCGCTTCACCCGTTCGGCTGTACAGCTTGGCTTACGGTCGCGCCCGAACTTCGCTCCAAACTCGACCCGAAGGCGGTTCGCGTTTTTTTCACCGGCTACGACCTGGCTTCAAAAGCCTTTCGCTTCTACGACACTACAACACAGAAGATTATACTTGGCAGAAATGCCACGTTCCTCGACACTGAATTCCCCGGATTACATGGCGACCCCACTGAGCAAGACGGCGACACGCACTTCGCCAGCGCTCCCACCACCGAATCTCAAACCGTTGTCAAGACATGGACCCCACTAGTAAGGTCGGCGCACATGGACGTCTCATCCCCCCTTGATGATTCTGCCATGAGCGCCGTTGACGTGGCCCCAGGGTACACTGGCGGAACCTTACTTAACTTCACAGATGCCGAATCGTCCTCGTCACCGTCGCCTGCGTCGCCCTCATCACCGTCGTCTGCGCCATCGCCTGCACTTTCACCATCGTCGGCTGCGTCATCGTCACCCTCGGCCTTACCGACCGACTCTGAAGACTCCGCCGATCCCCTCGACCTCCTCGGCTCACAGCCCCAGGTTCGCCTCGATCTACAGGACGTGCACCACCCAGACTTCAGCACGTACCGCGAGCCCGCATCGGCTGAGGAGTCGCCCGACGAACTCGACCTCATTGGGCGCCACTCTCGCGACGAATCTCCGGACGAAATCGATTTCCTCACCCGACACCACCGCGCTTCATCGCCATCGACGACGACACCTCTGACACAGAGGCAATTCAGCCAGTCAAGTCCATCACGAGCGACCCACAGACCTGGCGCGAGGCGATGTCTAGCGACAAGCGTGAAGTATGGGCCAAAGCCGCCACCGACGAGTTCACCTCCATGCGCGACGACTTCAAGGTCTTCACCATCGAGGACCGAGCCACGGTGCCCGCGGGTGCGACTATCGTTACATCCAAGTTCGTCTGGAAAACGAAACGGAACGCACTCGGCGAAGTCACTGGACACAAGGCAAGGCTGGTCGCGCAAGGCAATCGGCAACGCGACGGCATCGACTTCAACGAAACGTTCGCACCGGTCGCACGCTTCTCCTCGATACGCTCACTCCTCGCGCTGGCGGCCGCCAACGGCTTGCACGTGCACCAGGCGGACATCGACAAAGCATATCTGCATGGCGACCTTGACCACGACATCTGGATGACGGCACCGCGCGCTTCGACCTTCCCAGCGACAAGGTGCTTCGCCTGCGACGCTCCATCTACGGGCTCAAACAGGCTGGCCGAATCTGGAATCGACACATCGACGCTTCGCTTCGGGCCCTCGGTTACACGGCGACGGGCACCGACCACTGCGTATACTCTGGCTCGATGATCGTCAATGTCCACACTACATCGCACTGTACGTCGACGACCTCCTGATGATCAGCCCGGAACTGGCCGAAATCGAACGTGTCATCTCAGGCCTGGACCAACGCTACGGAGTCAAGCGCCTCGGCCCGGCCGAGTATATCCTCGGCATCCAGATCAGGCGGTTCGACGACGGCTCTATCGCCCTATCCCAGGAACGGTACATCATGGACGTGCTCGCTCGGTTCCACTTCGACACCACGACTCGCGGCACTACAGTTCCGATGACTCCCGGCCTTTCGCTCACTGCTATCCCGGGTCAAGGCACCGAACGGATCAGGTCATGGTATCTGCAGGCTATCGGCTCGCTCCTCTACATTTCGCTCGGTACCCGCCCTGACATCGCCTTCGCCGTGTCCTACCTGGCCCGCTTCGCCAACAACCCCGGTCGTCGTCATTGGATTGCGGTCAAGCACATCCTACGCTATCTCCGGGCCACGTATCGCAACGAACTCGTGTATGCTCGCGGCCAGGCTCGCATCACGGGTGTGGTAGGCTACTCCGACGCGAACTGGGGGGCCTGCATCGACACATCGGTGTCCACCATGGGCTACGTCTTCTACATCGCTGGCTCGGCCGTGTCCTGGTCGTCCAAACGCCAGTCTCGAGTTGCCGATTCGACCACCGACGCTGAATACCTCGCCCTCTCGCATGCTGGCAAGGAAGGGATTTACCTCAGTCAGCTGCTCGAAGAGCTCCATGTACAACCTGTTGCACCGGCTCACATCTTTACTGACAACGAAGCCGCTGCTGCAGTTGCTCACGATCCTGTCCGCGTCTCTGGCACTCGGCACATACGCTTGCGTGAGCACTTCGTTCGGGACATGGTGAATCGGGGCGACATCTCTCTCTCGCATGTGGGTACCAGCGACATGGTGGCCGACATCTTCACCAAGGCTCTCGGCCCAAAGGTCTTCTCAACGCACTGCTACGCCCTCGGCCTTCGCACTCGACACCCGCGGCTTGGGTCTGCCTCGCATTCGCGTGGGGGGGGGTGAAGAGTCCACTCTCAGCTCGACAGGGGCGCCTCGGTCGTTGCGCGCACTTGCTAGCCCGCCCCCGGCGGTGGGGACTTACGCCTGGGTGTAGCGACCGCTGGGGCTAACGTGGCTACGGTTGCGACGGACGGTCCGATTGGGAGAAGTCGCAAGGCGGCACAGACGCGGTCTGACGAGACACGATCTGTTCTCTACCGACAGTCTGGCTAATGTCGGGAAGCCACAAGGAGCGTGAGTCTGACAAGGTTCTTTCTACTGCAAATCGGGCGGATGCGCTGCTAAGCATCAAGGGCAAACTCCACATTCAGAGGGGTCGTGTTGGACAACGGCCACGAGGGGAAACCTATCTATGAAGTGTTGGTGAGCGAGGGAGTCCATAGCGACGAGACTCAGGTTGCGAACGGCGGGCGTCATGCATGGGCGATACTCTTGAAATGGAACATGAGGACGGCGGCGGCAAGCTGCTGGTGACTAAGTGGAGGCATTGGGCAAGACTGGAGGGCAGACGGCCAGAGCCCGGCGTGGAGGCGGCGGCGCGCGGGCGTGAGTTGAGCAGGCCGGCGCGAGGCAGGAGGCGACGGCTTGGCTGCGAAGGCGAAATGAGACGTTCACCACTACTGTCAGGAGAGGTTGAGAGTCGAACAGAAGTGATGAGAAGGAAGCTAAGAAACAGAAAGGGGGGGGGCCACGCTGGGATAGTCCCAGGCGCGTGACAATGTACATCCCTAAGTCAGCCGCGGGTGAAATCGCCGGCGCGCCTAAGTCCCCACCGCAAGGGGGCGGGCTAGCGGGCGCGCGCATGAATCCGCCGGCGCTGGCGCGCTGAGGCAGTCGCGCGCGTCTAAGTCCCCACCGCCGGGGGCGGGCTAGCAAGTGCGCGCAACGACCGAGGCGCCCCTGTCGAGCTGAGAGTGGACTCTTCACACCCCCCCCACGCGAATGCGAGGCAGACCCAAGCCGCGGGTGTCGAGTGCGAAGGCCGAGGGCGTAGCAGTGCGTTGAGAAGACCTTTGGGCCGAGAGCCTTGGTGAAGATGTCGGCCACCATGTCGCTGGTACCCACATGCGAGAGAGAGATGTCGCCCCGATTCACCATGTCCCGAACGAAGTGCTCACGCAAGCGTATGTGCCGAGTGCCAGAGACGCGGACAGGATCGTGAGCAACTGCAGCAGCGGCTTCGTTGTCAGTAAAGATGTGAGCCGGTGCAACAGGTTGTACATGGAGCTCTTCGAGCAGCTGACTGAGGTAAATCCCTTCCTTGCCAGCATGCGAGAGGGCGAGGTATTCAGCGTCGGTGGTCGAATCGGCAACTCGAGACTGGCGTTTGGACGACCAGGACACGGCCGAGCCAGCGATGTAGAAGACGTAGCCCATGGTGGACACCGATGTGTCGATGCAGGCCCCCCAGTTCGCGTCGGAGTAGCCTACCACACCCGTGATGCGAGCCTGGCCGCGAGCATACACGAGTTCGTTGCGATACGTGGCCCGGAGATAGCGTAGGATGTGCTTGACCGCAATCCAATGACGACGACCGGGGTTGTTGGCGAAGCGGGCCAGGTAGGACACGGCGAAGGCGATGTCAGGGCGGGTACCGAGCGAAATGTAGAGGAGCGAGCCGATAGCCTGCAGATACCATGACCTGATCCGTTCGGTGCCTTGACCCGGGATAGCAGTGAGCGAAAGGCCGGGAGTCATCGGAACTGTAGTGCCGCGAGTCGTGGTGTCGAAGTGGAACCGAGCGAGCACGTCCATGATGTACCGTTCCTGGGATAGGGCGATAGAGCCGTCGTCGAACCGCCTGATCTGGATGCCGAGGATATACTCGGCCGGGCCGAGGCGCTTGACTCCGTAGCGTTGGTCCAGGCCTGAGATGACACGTTCGATTTCGGCCAGTTCCGGGCTGATCATCAGGAGGTCGTCGACGTACAGTGCGATGTAGTGTGGACATTGACGATCATCGAGCCAAGAGTATACGCAGTGGTCGGTGCCCGTCGCCGTGTAACCGAGGGCCCGAAGCGAAGCGTCGATGTGTCGATTCCAGATTCGGCCAGCCTGTTTGAGCCCGTAGATGGAGCGTCGCAGGCGAAGCACCTTGTCGCTGGGAAGGTCGAAGCCGCGCGGTGCCGTCATCCAGATGTCGTGGTCAAGGTCGCCATGCAGATATGCTTTGTCGATGTCCGCCTGGTGCACGTGCAAGCCGTTGGCGGCCGCCAGCGCGAGGAGAAGCGTGCGACCGGTGCGAACGTTTCGTTGAAGTCGATGCCGTCGCGTTGCCGATTGCCTTGCGCGACCAGCCTTGCCTTGTGTCCAGTGACTTCGCCGAGTGCGTTCCGTTTCGTTTTCCAGACGAACTTGGATGTAACGATAGTCGCACCCGCGGGCACCGTGGCTCGGTCCTCGATGGTGAAGACCTTGAAGTCGTCGCGCATGGAGGTGAACTCGTCGGTGGCGGCTTTGGCCCATACTTCACGCTTGTCGCTAGACATCGCCTCGCGCCAGGTCTGTGGGTCGCTCGTGATGGACTTGACTGGCTGAATTGCCTCTGTGTCAGAGGTGTCGTCGTCGATGGCGATGAAGGCGCGGTGGTGTCGGGTGAGGAAATCGATTTCGTCCGGAGATTCGTCGCGAGAGTGGCGCCCAATGAGGTCGAGTTCGTCGGGCGACTCCTCAGCCGATGCGGGCTCGCGGTACGTGCTGAAGTCTGGGTGGTGCACGTCCTGTAGATCGAGGCGAACCTGGGGCTGTGAGCCGAGGAGGTCGAGGGGATCGGCGGAGTCTTCAGAGTCGGTCGGTAAGGCCGAGGGTGACGATGACGCAGCCGACGATGGTGAAAGTGCAGGCGATGGCGCAGACGACGGTGATGAGGGCGACGCAGGCGACGGTGACGAGGACGATTCGGCATCTGTGAAGTTAAGTAAGGTTCCGCCAGTGTACCCTGGGGCCACGTCAACGGCGCTCATGGCAGAATCATCAAGGGGGGATGAGACGTCCATGTGCGCCGACCTTACTAGTGGGGTCCATGTCTTGACAACGGTTTGAGATTCGGTGGTGGGAGCGCTGGCGAAGTGCGTGTCGCCGTCTTGCTCAGTGGGGTCGCCATGTAATCCGGGGAATTCAGTGTCGAGGAACGTGGCATTTCTGCCAAGTATAATCTTCTGTGTTGTAGTGTCGTAGAAGCGAAAGGCTTTTGAAGCCAGGTCGTAGCCGGTGAAAAAAACGCGAACCGCCTTCGGGTCGAGTTTGGAGCGAAGTTCGGGCGCGACCGTAAGCCAAGCTGTACAGCCGAACGGGTGAAGCGCCGAGGCAGTGGTGTGGTCACCCTGCCAGACGGAGTTTGGTGTTGCCTTGTCCAGGGCCGCGTGTTGACACAGGTTCTTGCAGTAAACGAAATAAGCTGCAGCCTCCTCCCAGAATGTCTTGGGTAGGTGGGCGTCGACAAGGAGGGCAAGGACGCCTTCGACAATGGAACGATTGACCCGCTCTGCACGACCGTTCTGTTGAGGCGTGCGTGGGATAGAGTATTGTCGACGGGTGCCTCGTGTCTTGCAGAACTCTGTGAACGCTCTCGAACAGTATTCGCCACCGTTGTCGGTTCGGAGGACCTTCAGCGTCGCACCCGTCTCGAGTTCAACCTCGGCTAGCCAAGTTTTGAATATGCCGAAGACTTCGCTTTTGTGTCCGATTGCGTAGGCCCAGAGTTTGCGCGAGTAATCGTCAAGGAATGTGACCAGGTAACGTTTGCCAGTCAAGGACCGCTCGGGGAAGGAAAGCACATCGCTGTGTACAAGGCCGAGTCTCTCTGAGGAGTGCGAATCCGAATCGGGAAAGGGAAGACGATGGCCCTTTGCGCTGAGGCAAGCATTGCAGACAAACTTCTCTACCTCTTCGTCACTATATCCGGCCCTGAGACCCTCCAGCAAACCAGCGGCAACCATCTTCTGTATGGAGGACGGTGCGAGATGGCCGAGGCAGCGATGGAGAGTCAGCAGGGGCACGGACGACTGTGAGCGAGAAAGGAGAGCAAGGTGCTGACATTTGGAATGATCAGCGTCCAGCAAGTAGAGCCCTTCGTCGAGTCGTGCGCCTTCAGCGATGTCGTTGCCGTCCTTGTCAATGTGGATGCCGTGTTTTGTGAAGGCGACACGGACATCGTCGGTGTCGCAAAGTCGAGAGACCGAGAGAAGATTGACAAACAGGCCCGGAGTGTGCAGCACGCCGGTAAGCGTGATCGGATGACCCGAGGCGGCAATGAAGGCGATGTTTCCCGTTCCGATGGCGTTGATGCCCCCTGCAATACCACCAATCTTCGTAGGAGCGATATGGCGATAGGTCGTGAACAGCGACTTGTCCGAGACCATGTGCGAAGTGGCGCCCGAGTCGACGACAAAAGAGTGGTTGCGAAGCTGGCGACGACGAGCGAGAAGACCGGTGGCGAGACATCCGACATGGTGTTGCGAGTCGACGGTCGAGTCAGCGGTGTCGGGCTTTTTGCCGTCCTCGAGCGCCTTCTTGCAGTCGAGAGACCAGTGATCCTTCTTCTTGCAGGAGCGACAGGGTCCTGGCGGCGGGTGTTGCGCCCTCGTAGGGCACTCCGCGACTCGGTGCGAAGGGCTGCGACAGGCGAGACACTTGAGACGAGTAGAACGTGACGACGACGAGGCAAGAAGGGCCGATTGAGTGCTGGGGATGTTCGTTGACCGAAGTTGGACTCGCATACGGTCGGCAAGCGAATCAATGTCGGGGAGAGTTCGTTGCGTGCGCTGTTCATCGGTGAACGACGCCTTGAAGCTCTCGAGGGACGGGTGGGCGATTGCAAGGAGGAGTGTGGCGAGAACATCATTGATAGTTGTCTTTGTGTCGATGATCTCTTGCGCAACGGCTTTGAAGTCCATGATCCACCCGTCGAATTCGGCAACCGTGCCGGGCATGGGACGGAAACCCCAGAGTCGTGAGAAGAGCTCGAGCGTGCGGGTGGCGTCGTCAGGGGCGTACCGCGATTTCAGCGTCGAGTAGATTGTCGGCGCTGTCAGGTCGGCGGTAGGGATTTTGTCGAGGACTGCCGAGACTTCGGCCGAGTCAATCGAATTCGCAAGGACCTCACGAGCGACGGCGTCGCGAGCGGAGCGTTGCGAAGGTGTCCAGTCGTCGGGTGCGATACCGTCGAGGACGTACGAGCGGATGTCGTCCGCTAGGCACAGGCGAAGTTGGCGTGTCCAGTTCGCGAAGGTCTTCGCACCATCCAAGCGTGCGTGCTTTGGAAAGGCAGTGCGAGTGGTGCCGGACGTCGTGGCGGGTGTGGCAGTGCCGGAAGCGGCAGCGGTGAGACCCGACAGCAGCGATGTAAGTGCGGCGAGCTGTTCGGCGGGAATCGGAGGGTTGGCACCCGTCGCGAGGGGTGGTGTCGTGGTCATGCCAGCTGGTGGCTCGTGGGCTTATAACCTATGAGACGTTCACCACTACTGTCAGGAGAGGTTGAGAGTCGAACAGAAGTGATCTATTTCAGCGTACCTATGAGACGTTCACCACTACTGTCAGGAGAGGTTGAGAGTCGAACAGAAGTGATGAGAAGGAAGCTAAGAAACAGAAAGGGGGGGCCACGCTGGGATAGTCCCAGGCGCGTGACAATGTACATCCCTAAGTCAGCCGCGGGTGAAATCGCCGGCGCGCCTAAGTCCCCACCGCAAGGGGGCGGGCTAGCGGGCGCGCGCATGAATCCGCCGGCGCTGGCGCGCTGAGGCAGTCGCGCGCGTCTAAGTCCCCACCGCCGGGGGCGGGCTAGCAAGTGCGCGCAACGACCGAGGCGCCCCTGTCGAGCTGAGAGTGGACTCTTCACAGTTGTGGCCCCTAGCCGCGCCCTCGGAACCGACCAACTCGAATCGCGGAACCGATTTGCGGGGCTCGAGGTCGAAGGAGGACAGGAGGATGACGTCGAGGAGGAGGATGCAGGAAAGGAGGGCGAGGAAAAGGAGCAGGTCGAAGAAGGAGACGAGGATACGGGCGCCAAGGCGGACGACGAGGATTCGGACTCGGATGGGAACGCCGGAGCGGGCATCGACAAGGCGGGAGGCGACGACAAGGACGAACAGGACGACAGCTCGGAGGGAAGCGAACAAAGGGAGGACGAAGGAAACGATGGGATGACGTGATGAAAGATGGAGCAGAGGAGGAGGACGAAGGGACGGAGACGGAGGTGGAAGAAGAGGTCGAGCAGGAACAGGGGGTACAGGACGACAGCATCATGATCATCGACGACGACCAAACGACGATCACCACGGTTTCCCGCGAGTCGACTCCTCGGAGTCCTCGTGGCCTCCACTATCTCCTGAGACGTTGGCAAAGTCGCTGCGCGAGGGTGCGGAGTGGGAGCTAACGCCGAAGCTGCTGCACGTGTCCAAGCAGAAAAGGAGGCGATCATCAACGCCCAACTCGACGCGGAGGAACCGCTCGTTCGCCACCAATTTGCAGAGTGGGGTCAGGAAGATGGACAACTGCGATTCATCAACATTCGTGCACCGGCTCCGGGTCGAACAAGAAGATGAAGAGGTCGCAAACGGTGGCCGATCTCAGCGATCCGAGCGACGACCCGGTCGATATCAAGCGCGTTCTGAACAGGGTCAAAGGTCGAGCAGGAAAGGAGGTAGCGGGTCAGGGGAAGAGGGTGACGAGGTCGATGTCGGGCGGCGGCGATGCAGGTCGAGGGGGCCAAGGCGAAAGCGAGAAGGGTAAAGGGGTGGAGAGGAGAAGCGCTGGTCGACCACGAGCCCGAGGATGACATTCTCCCCAAATTCCCACTCTTTGAGGACGACACTACGCCAAGAGCACGTCTACATCGTCTATCCAATAATGATCAAGCACACCATCACCAGCTGGAACGTGAGGAGGTGCATGGGGATCCCGGAAAAGCGACGCAACATTGCATCCGCCATTCTACTACAAGAACACTTCATCAAACCGGAACTCTGGCAATGTATCAAGGACGAGTACGAGGGCAAGGTCTTCATCAGCAAACACTGTCTGACTCTGATCCCCGCCGACTCGCGATCGACGCCGAGATTTTGCGCACCCACTCGGCACTCGACGGACGAATCCTGGTCACCTCCTTTCGACTTCGAGGCGACATCCGGATACTCGAGATCAACAACATTTCGCACCAGTCGATACAAAACAACGACTCACATTCTTTGACAAACTACATTTCCACAGGACGCAGAGCACCCACCTTCGACTCCTCGGTCTCAACGACTGCCCGCTGTGAAGAGTCCACTCTCAGCTCGACAGGGGCGCTCGGTCGTTGCGCGCACTTGCTAGCCCGCCCCCGGCGGTGGGGACTTAGACGCGCGCGACTGCCTCAGCGCGCCAGCGCCGGCGGATTCATGCGCGCGCCCGCTAGCCCGCCCCTTGCGGTGGGGACTTAGGCGCGCCGGCGATTTCACCCGCGGCTGACTTAGGGATGTACATTGTCACGCGCCTGGGACTATCCCAGCGTGGCCCCCCCCTTTCTGTTTCTTAGCTTCCTTCTCATCACTTCTGTTCGACTCTCAACCTCTCCTGACAGTAGTGGTGAACGTCTCATAGGTACGCTGAAATAGATCACTTCTGTTCGACTCTCAACCTCTCCTGACAGTAGTGGTGAACGTCTCATAGGTTATAAGCCCACGAGCCACCAGCTGGCATGACCACGACACCACCCTCGCGACGGGTGCCAACCCTCCGATTCCCGCCGAACAGCTCGCCGCACTTCCCGCCGAACAGCTCGCCGCACTTACATCGCTGCTGTCGGGTCTCACCGCTGCCGCTTCCGGCACTGCCACACCCGCCACGACGTCCGGCACCACTCGCACTGCCTTTCCAAAGCACGCACGCTTGGATGGTGCGAAGACCTTCGCGAACTGGACACGCCAACTTCGCCTGTGCCTAGCGGACGACATCCGCTCGTACGTCCTCGACGGTATCGCACCCGACGACTGGACACCTTCGCAACGCTCCGCTCGCGACGCGTCGCTCGTGAGGTCCTTGCGAATCGATTGACTCGGCGAAGTCTCGGCAGTCCTCGACAAAAATCCCTACCGCCGACCTGACAGCGCCGACAATCTACTCGACGCTGAAATCGCGGTACGCCCCTGACGACGCCACCCGCACGCTCGAGCTCTTCTCACGACTCTGGGGTTTCCGTCCCATGCCCGGCACGGTTGCCGAATTCGACGGGTGGATCATGGACTTCAAAGCCGGCGCAAGAGATCATCGACACAAAGACAACTATCAATGATGTTCTCGCCACACTCCTCCTTGCAATCGCCCACCCGTCCCTCGAGAGCTTCAAGGCGTCGTTCACCGATGAACAGCGCACGCAACGAACTCTCCCCGACATTGATTCGCTTGCCGACCGTATGCGAGTCCAACTTCGGTCAACGAACATCCTATTCGATCAACTCTACTACGTCAGCGATGTAGTTATAGCCAAGAGTGATGAATGCATTTCAACATACCTATTCGATCAACTCTACTACGTCAGCGATGTAGTTATAGCCAAGAGTGATGAATAGGAAGCTAACAATAAGAGACCCGCGCGCCCCAAGTCCACAGCCAGCGAGCCTGGGGCTGAGCCAATGGCCCAGGCTCGCTCCGCGCCCTAAGTCCCAGGCTCGCTTCGCGCGCCTAAGTCCTGGGCCGGGGCGCCCGGCTCACTCCGCGCGCCTAAGTCCGCGCCCGGTTCGCTCCGCGCGCCTAAGTCCTGAGCCGAGCGGAGAGTGGATTCCTCACACCCCCCCCCACGCGAACGCGAGGTAGACTTGAGCCGTGGATGTCGCGTCCGGAGGCCTAGAGCATAGCAATGTGTACCAAAAATCTTGGGGCCTAGCGCTTTGGTGAATACGTCCGCAACCATGTCTGCTGTGCCAACGTGTGAGAGAGAGATATCACCTCGATTGACCATGTCACGGACAAAATGCTCGCGGAGGCGAATGTGCCGGGTGCCGGAGGTGCGAACGGGGTCGTGAGCGACGGCGGCCGCGGCCTCGTTGTCGGTGAAGATGTGAGCTGCAGCGATTGGGCAAACGTGGAGCTCGGAGAGGAGTTGGTTAAGGTAGATCGCTTCCTTACCCGCGTGCGACAAGGCCAGGTACTCGGCATCAGTGGTGGAATCCGCTACCCGAGTCTGACGCTTCGACGACCAAGAGACAGCGGCGCCTGCCAAGTAAAATACGTAGCCCATCGTTGAAATGGATGTGTCGACGCAGGCGCCCCAGTTCGCATCAGAATAACCAACCACACCCGTGACTTTTGCTGGGCCGCGGGCATAGAGAAGCTCATCGCGGTACGTGGCGCGAAGGTAGCGAAGGACGTGTTTGACGGCAATCCAATGGCGGCGGCCGGGGTTGTTGGCGAACCGGGACAGGTACGAGACGGCGAAGGCAATGTCGGGTCGAGTGCCAAGGGAGATGTAGAGGAGGGAGCCGATGGCCTGTAGGTACCACGAACGAATGCGCTCCGTTCCCTGACCCGGAATTGCCGTGAGCGAGAGGCCGGGCGTCATCGGCACCGTAGTGCCGCGTGTCGTGGTGTCGAAGTGGAAACGGGCCAGCACGTCCATGATGTAGCGCTCCTGGGATAGAGCAATGGAACCGTCGTCCAGGCGGCGTATTTGGATTCCGAGGATGTACTCCGCGGGGCCGAGTCGTTTGACGCCGTACCGCTGTTCAAGGCCGGAGATGACACGTTCGATCTCGTCGAGGGCTGGACTGACAATGAGGAGGTCGTCGACATACAAGGCGATATAGTGAGGCCGCTGCTGATCGTCAATGCGAGAGTAAATGCAGTGATCAGTGCCTGTTGCCTTGTACCCCAGATTCCTGAGTGATGTGTCAATGTGACGATTCCAGATGCGACCGGCCTGCTTGAGACCGTAGATTGAGCGTCGCAGCCGGAGAACCTTATCGCTCGGGAAGTCGAAACCGCGTGGTGTCGTCATCCAGATATCATGATCGAGCTCGCCGTGGAGGTAAGCCTTGTCGATGTCGGCCTGATGAACGTGGTAGCCATTGGCAGCGGCAAGAGCCAGGAGGCAGCGAATGGAGGAGAAACGGGCGACGGGTGCGAAGGTTTCTGAGAAGTCGATGCCGTCGCGCTGTCGGTTACCCTGCGCTACAAGACGTGCCTTCCGCCCCGTGACTTCACCGCTTGCGTTGCGCTTGGTCTTCCAGACGAATTTGGAGGTGACGATGGTGGCGCCCGGCGGTACAGATGAGCGAGGCTCGATGGTGAACACCTTGAAGTCGTCGCGCATGGCGGTGAACTCGGCGGCGGCGGCCTCAGCCCAGATGTTGTGCTCGTCGCTGGACATTGCTTCGCGCCAGGTCTGGGGGTCGCTAGTGATCGATTTGACGGGCTCGATGGCGTCGAGGGTGGGGTCGTCGTCGTCTGTGGCGATGAAGGCGCGGTGGTGTTGGGTGAGGAAATCGATTTCATCCGGCGATTCATCGCGCGAGTGACGCCCAATGATGTCGAGTTCGTCGGGCGACTCCTCAGCCGATGCGGGCTCACGGTACGTGCTGAAGTCTGGGCGGTGCACGTCCGGTGGGCCAAGGCGAGTCGGGGTCTGTGAGCCGATGAGGTCCAGAGGGTCGGCGGAGTAGTCAGAGTCGGTCGGTGAGACCGAGGGTGACGATGACGCTGCCAACGACGGTGACAGCGCAGGCGACGGTGACAAAGGGTTTGTGGGCGACGGTGACGAGGACGGCTCAGGAGACGGTGACGAGGACGATTCGGTATCTGTGGAATTAAGTAAGGTTCCGCCAGTGTACCCTGGGGCCACGTCAACGGCGCTCATGGCAGAATCATCAAGGGAGGATGAGACGTCCATGTGCGCCGACCTTACTAGTGGGGTCCTCGTCTTGACGGCAGGGGCGGGCGTGTCGGCGGGAACGACGAACTGACGGTCGGTGTCGTCTGCATCGACGGGCGTGGTGACTGGCAGGCCGGGGAAGTCGTCGTCGAGGAAGGTGGCATTGCGACCAAGTACAATCTTGTTGATGGAATGGTCAAAGAAACGGAAAGCTTTGGAGGCGAGGTCGTAACCTGTGAAGATCACGCGCGCGGCCTTGGGGTCGAGCTTGCTGCGAAGGTCCGGGGCGACCGTGAGCCAGGCTGTGCAGCCGAACGGGTGGAGGGCGGTGGCGGTGGTGCGTTGGCCGTTCCAAACGGATTCTGGAGTCTGTTTGGCCAAAGCTGAGTGTGAGCACCTGTTTTTGCAATAAACGAAATACGCAGCCGCTTCATCCCAAAAGGTGGCCGGCAGACGGGCGTCCGCAAGGAGAGCGAGGACGCCCTCGACGATGGAGAGGTTGACACGTTCGGCGCGACCGTTTTGTTGAGGCGTGTAAGGGATAGAGTATTGACGACGAATGCCCTTGGATTTGCAGAACTCCGTGAATGCGTTTGATCGGTACTCCCCGCCATTGTCGGTTCGAAGGATCCTCAACCGCGCGTTCGTCTCTAACTCCACTTCGGCGAGCCAAGTCTGGAAGGTCGGGAAAACATCGCTTTTGTGATCGATCGCATATGCCCAGAGTTTGCGAGAGTGGTCGTCTAGAAACGTGACAAGGTAGCGCTTCCCGGTCAAGGACGGAGTGGGGAACGACAGGACGTCGCTGTGCACGAGGCCAAGTCTCTCGGCGGAATGCGACTCAGAGTCGGGAAAGGGAAGGCGGTGACCTTTGGAACCAAGGCAAGCATTGCAAACAAACTCCTCTACGTCTTTGTCACTGTACCCGGCCCCAAACCCGTCCAGCAAACCTGCAGCAATCATCTTCTGTATAGAGGATGGGGCAAGATGGCCGAGGCAGCGGTGTAGGGTAAGCAGGGGCACGGGAGACTCAGAGCGTGAGAGGAAGGCAAGATGCTGACACTTGGTGTGATCCGCGTCCAAAAGGTAAAGACCGTCGTTGACCCTGGTACCGTGAGCAATGGCCCGGCCGTCCTTGGCGATGTCGATGCCGTCGCTGGTGAAGGCGAGACGAACGCGGTCGGTGTCGCAGAGGCGAGAGACAGAGAGGAGGTTGACGTGTAGGCCAGGCGTGTGAAGAACACCACGGAGCGTGATCGGGTGTCCAGTCTTGGCGACGAATGCCACGTCCCCCATGCCGATAGCCGTGATGCCGCCCGCGATGCCGCCGATCTTGGTGTGTGCCGTCTGACGATAAGTCGTGAATAGAGATCGGTCGGCGACCATGTGTGTCGTGGCACCCGAATCGACTACAAAGGCGTCAGTTGGGAGTTGGCGACGAGCGAAGAGGCAGGAGGCGAAATAGCCGACGTTCGGTTGCGAGGCCGCGGAGGAAGACGTGTCGTCCTGGGTGTCGTCGCTGCTACGTGCCTGTTCACCCCGGTTCTTGCAGTCGAGTGCCCAGTGACCTTTCTTGTGGCATCGGGCAGGGGCCGGTGGGCGGGTGCTTCGCACGTGAAGTGCAGTCGCGCAGGCGGTGACCGGGAGCGCGGCAGGCGGGGCAGGGGAGCGGTGGCAAGCATGGCCGAATGCGAGGTCGAGAGTCCTGCCGAACGAAGCTGGATGCGAATGCGGTCCGTAAGCGTCGTGAGTTCGGGAAGGTCGCGTCGGTTTCGCTGCTCGTCCGTGAACGTGAGTCGGAAGCTGTCGAGGCAAGACGGGACCATGGCGAGCACGTGGGTGGCGAGCACGTCGTTGAGCGATGTTTTGGCGTCGCGTATTTCCTGAGCAATCGACATGTACTCGCGTAGCCAAGTGTCGTAGGCCTCGACGGAGGCAGGCATCTTCCTGAAGTCCCAAAGGCGAGCGAACAACTCGAGAGTGCGTGTAGCGTCGTCCGGTGCAAAACGAGCCTTGAGAGCGGCAAAGATGCGCGGTGCCGACAGGTCGTCGCTGGGGATGGCGTCGAGGGTGGCCGATACGTCGGCGGAGTCGATAGAGCCAACGATGATTTCCCGGGCGGCGTCGTCACGTGCGGCAAGCTGGTCGGCGGTCCAGGTCGGGGAACGACACCGTCGAGAACGTAACCACGAACCTGGTTCGGGAGTGCAAGACGGAGTTGACGCAACCAGTTGGTGAACGACTTGGGGCCGTCCAGACGAGCGTGCTTGGGAAACACGACCTTGGATGCGGTGGCGGCGTTCCCCGGCACGATGGTGACGGCCGGGGGTGCGGCGGCTGCGGCGGCGGCGGGTTGCGAGGCCTGCAGAGCGGCAAGCTGGGCCTGTAGAGTGGCGATTTGTTCGCCGATCGAAGATTCAGGGGAGCTGGGATCCCTGGGGGCCAAAGGCGAGGCGGGAGAGCTGTCCATGATGTGATGGTGCGATGGACGTGTGCGGCTCGAGTGGCTGGGCTCGAGCGAAAAAGCCTCAAGCGGCGGGGCTGGTAGCTCGTGGGCTTATAACCTATTCGATCAACTCTACTACGTCAGCGATGTAGTTATAGCCAAGAGTGATCAATGCATTTCAACATACCTATTCGATCAACTCTACTACGTCAGCGATGTAGTTATAGCCAAGAGTGATGAATAGGAAGCTAACAATAAGAGACCCGCGCGCCCCAAGTCCACAGCCAGCGAGCCTGGGGCTGAGCCAATGGCCCAGGCTCGCTCCGCGCGCCTAAGTCCTGGGCCGGGGCGCCCGGCTCACTCCGCGCGCCTAATCGCTCCGCGCGCCTAAGTCCTGAGCCGAGCGGAGAGTGGCATCCCCAGCACTCAATCGGCCCTTCTTGCCTCGTCGTCGTCACGTTCTACTCGTCTCAAGTGTCTCGCCTGTCGCAGCCCTTCGCACCGAGTCGCGGAGTGCCCTACGAGGGCGCAACACCCGCCGCCAGGACCCTGTCGCTCCTGCAAGAAGAAGGATCACTGGTCTCTCGACTGCAAGAAGGCGCTCGAGGACGGCAAAAAGCCCGACACCGCTGACTCGACCGTCGACTCGCAACACCATGTCGGATGTCTCGCCACCGGTCTTCTCGCTCGTCGTCGCCAGCTTCGCAACCACTCTTTTGTCGTCGACTCGGGCGCCACTTCGCACATGGTCTCGGACAAGTCGCTGTTCACGACCTATCGCCATATCGCTCCTACGAAGATTGGTGGTATTGCAGGGGGCATCAACGCCATCGGAACGGGAAACATCGCCTTCATTGCCGCCTCGGGTCATCCGATCACGCTTACCGGCGTGCTGCACACTCCGGGCCTGTTTGTCAATCTTCTCTCGGTCTCTCGACTTTGCGACACCGACGATGTCCGTGTCGCCTTCACAAAACACGGCATCCACATTGACAAGGACGGCAACGACATCGCTGAAGGCGCACGACTCGACGAAGGGCTCTACTTGCTGGACGCTGATCATTCCAAATGTCAGCACCTTGCTCTCCTTTCTCGCTCACAGTCGTCCGTGCCCCTGCTGACTCTCCATCGCTGCCTCGGCCATCTCGCACCGTCCTCCATACAGAAGATGGTTGCCGCTGGTTTGCTGGAGGGTCTCAGGGCCGGATATAGTGACGAAGAGGTAGAGAAGTTTGTCTGCAATGCTTGCCTCAGCGCAAAGGGCCATCGTCTTCCTTTCCCGATTCGGATTCGCACTCCTCAGAGAGACTCGGCCTTGTACACAGCGATGTGCTTTCCTTCCCCGAGCGGTCCTTGACTGGCAAACGTTACCTGGTCACATTCCTTGACGATTACTCGCGCAAACTCTGGGCCTACGCAATCGGACACAAAAGCGAAGTCTTCGGCATATTCAAAACTTGGCTAGCCGAGGTTGAACTCGAGACGGGTGCGACGCTGAAGGTCCTCCGAACCGACAACGGTGGCGAATACTGTTCGAGAGCGTTCACAGAGTTCTTCGACAATACTCTATTTCGTGTCAATCGTTCCATTGTCGAATTTTCCTGCAGCTTATACTGCAAGAAGTCCTACAGGGTCACATACAACGGTCGCGCGCTTCGACCCGAAAACGACAAAAACGCCTTTTATGAGATGATCACCACTACTGTCAGGAGAAGTCGAGAGTCGAACAGAAGTGATCTATTTCAGCGTACCTATGAGATGATCACCACTACTGTCAGGAGAAGTCGAGAGTCGAACAGAAGTGATGAGAAGGAAGCTAAGAAATGGAAAGGTGGCCCGCGCTGGGATATGCCCAGGCGCGGGCGAAATCGCTGGAGCGCTGAGGCAGTCGCGCGCGGCTAAGTCCCCACTGCAAGGGCGGGCTAGCGGCGCGCGCCCGAAAACCGCCGGCGCCGGCGCGCTGAGGCACTCGCGCGCGCCTAAGTCCCCACCACAGGGGCCAGGCTAGCAGGCGCGCGCAACGACCGAGGCGCCCCTGTCGAGCTGAGAGTGGACTCTTCACACCCCCCCCCACGCGAATGCGAGGCAGATCCAAGCCGTGGGTGTCGAGTGCGAAGGCCTAGTGCGTAGCAGTGTGTCGAGAAAATCTTTGGGCCAAGAGCCTTTGTGAAGATGTCGGCCACCATGTTGCTGGTTCCCACATGCGAGAGTGAGATATCGCCCCGATTCACCATGTCCCGAACAAAGTGCTCGCGCAAGCGTATGTGTCGAGTGCCGGAGACGCGGACAGGGTCGTGGGCAACTGCGGCAGCGGCTTCATTGTCAGTAAAAATGTGAGCCGGTGCAACAGGTTGGACATGGAGCTCCTCGAGCAGCTGACTGAGGTAGATCCCTTCCTTGCCAGCATGCGAGAGGGCGAGGTATTCAGCGTCGGTGGTAGAATCGGCAACTCGAGATTGACGCTTGGACGACCAAGACACGGCGGATCCGGCAATGTAGAAGACGTAGCCCATAGTGGACACCGACGTATCGACGCAGGGCCCCCAGTTCGCGTCGGAGTAGCCAACCACGCCCGTGATGCGTGTCTCGCCGCAAGCATAAACCAGTTCGTCGCGATATGTGGCCCGGAGATAGCGGAGGATGTGCTTGACCGCGATCCAGTGACGACGTCCAGGGTTGTTGGCGAAGCGGGCCAGGTAGGACACGGCGAAGGCGATGTCGGGGCGGGTGCCGAGCGAAATGTAGAGGAGCGAGCCGATAGCCTGCAGATACCATGACCTGATCCGTTCGGTGCCTTGACCCGGGATGGCGGTGAGCGAAAGGCCGGGGGTCATCGGGACTGTAGTGCCGCGAGTCGTGGTGTCGAAGTGGAACCGAGCAAGCACGTCCATGATGTACCGTTCCTGGGACAGGGCAATAGAACCGTCTTCGAGTCGCCTGATCTGGATGCCGAGGATGTACTCTGCCGGGCCGAGGCGCTTGACGCCGTAGCGTTGTTCGAGGCCCGAGATGACACGTTCAATTTCGGCCAAGTCGGGGCTGATCATCAGGAGGTCGTCGACGTACAGCGCGATGTAGTGTGGGCGTCGCCGATCGTCGATCCGAGAGTACACGCAGTGGTCGGTGCCCGTCGCCGTATAGCCGAGATCTCGAAGCGATGCGTCGATGTGTCGATTCCAGATTCGGCCAGCCTGTTTGAGTCCGTAGATGGAGCGTCGCAGACGAAGCACCTTGTCGGTGGGAAGGTCGAAGCCGCGCGCGGTGTCGTCATCCAGATGTCATGGTCAAGGTCGCCATGCAGATAGGCTTTGTCGATGTCCGCCTGGTGCACGTGCAAGCCGTTGGCGGCCGCCAGCGCGAGGAGTGAGCGTATCGAGGAGAAGCGTGCGACTGGTGCGAAGGTTTCGTTGAAGTCGATGCCGTCGCGTTGCCGATTTCCCTGCGCCACGAGCCGTGCCTTGTGGCCGGTGACTTCGCCGAGTGCATTCCGTTTCGTTTTCCAGACGAACTTGGATGTGACGATGGTCGCACCCGCTGGTACCGTGGATCGGTCCTCGATGGTGAAGACCTTGAAGTCGTCGCGCATGGAATTGAACTCGTCGGTAGCGGCCTTGGCCCACACTTCGCGCTTGTCACTCGACATTGCCTCGCGCCATGTCTGTGGGTCGCTGGTGATGGACTTGACTGGTTGAATGGCTTCTGTGTCAGAGTTGTCGTCGTCGGTGGCGATGAAGGCGCGGTGGTGTTGGGTGAGGAAATCGATTTCGTCCGGCGATTCATCGCGCGAGTGGCGCCCAATGATGTCGAGTTCGTCGGGCGACTCCTCAGCCGATGCGGGCTCACGGTACGTGCTGAAGTCTGGGCGGTGCACGTCCGGTGGGCCGAGGCGAGTCGGGGTCTGTGAGCCGATGAGGTCCAGAGGGTCGGCGGAGTAGTCAGAGTCGGTCGGTAAAGGGTGACGATGACGCAGCCAACGACGGTGACAGCGCAGGCGACGGTGACAAGGGAGTTGCGGGCGACGGTGACGAGGACGGCTCAGGAGACGGTGACGAGGACGATTCGGCATCTGTGGAATTAAGTAAGGTTCCGCCAGTGTACCCTGGGGCCACGTCAACGGCGCTCATGGCAGAGTCATCAAGAGAGGATGAGACGTCCATGTGCGCCGACCTTACTAGTGGGGTCCATGTCTTGACAACGGCTTGGGATTCGGTGGTCGGGCAAGCGCTGGCGAAGTGCGTGTCGGCGTCTTGCTCGGTGGAGTCGCTACGTAACCCGGGAAATTCGTTGTCGAGGAACCTGGCATTTCTGCCCAAACTGATCTTCTTGGTCGTCGTGTCGTAGAAACGGAAGGCTTTAGAAGCCAGGTCATAGCCGGTGAAGAGAACGCGAACCGCTTTCGGGTCGAGTTTCGAGCGAAGTTCAGGCGCGACTGTGAGCCAAGCCGTGCAGCCGAACGGGTGAAGCGCCGAGGCGTTGGTGCGGTCGCCCTGCCAGGCGAAGTTCGGTGTTGCCTTGTCCAGGGCCGAGTGTTCGCACAGGTTCTTGCAGTAGACGAAATAAGCTGCTGCCTCCTCCCAGAATGATTTGGGTAAGTGGGCGTCTGCAAGGAGGGCAAGGACACCTTCGACGATAGAACGATTGACTCGTTCGGCACGACCGTTCTGTTGAGGCGTTCGAGGGATAGAGTATTGTCGACGTGTGCCGCGTGCCTTACAGAATTCCGTGAACGCTCTCGAACAGTATTCGCCACCATTGTCGGTTCGGAGGACCTTCAGTTTTGCATCCGTCTCGAGTTCGACCTCGGCAAGCCATGTCTTGAACACGCCAAAGACTTCGCTTTTGTGTCCGATCGCGTATGCCCACAGTTTGCGCGAGAAGTCGTCAAGAAACGTGACCAGGTAACGCTTGCCAGTCAAGGACGACTCGGGAAAGGAAAGCACATCGCTGTGTACGAGGCCGAGTCTCTCTGAGGAGTGCGAGTCCGAATCGGGAAAAGGAAGACGATGGCCCTTTGCACTGAGGCAAGCATTGCAGACAAACTTCTCTACCTCTTCGTCACTATATCCGGCCCCGAGACCTTCCAGCAAACCAGCGGCAACCATCTTCTGTATGGACGACGGTGCGAGATGGCCGAGGCAGCGGTGAAGGGTCAGCAGGGGCACGGAAGACTGTGAGCGAGAGAGGAGAGCGAGATGCTGACATTTGGAATGATCAGCGTCCAGCAAGTAGTGTCAGGCAAACAGCGATACACTGACAGCAACACTCGAAGGAAGTCCCTGAGGTAATGTGCAGGTAGAGTTGAGGTCACCAAATGCTTCCCTCCATTCAAGCATTGTGGGCGTGATGGCGTAGTCGTTCGGCGCGCGGGCGCGCACTTAATGGTCGCGGGTTCAAGGCGCGCAGAGCGCAATCTTCTCTCGGTTTTTGTTCTTTTTGTTAGCTGAGGCGCGGCCTCAGGGTTTTTACCGGTGCTCCCGCGAGCAATCCTTTTTCCCCCTGAGGCGACCTCTTGGAGTAGCTGAATTGGCTAAGTCCCCTCTGCGCCTGAGTGCCTCCCTTTTGTTTTTAGCACCTTCCCACTCAGCCTGGTCCGCTACATCTCCCAAGATCCCTTCACCTTCATCCTTCGTTTTCGATCTCGTTGGCAATAAAGTCCGATATACTTGACTTGCTGCGAGCCTCACAACCGCGTCCCCTCCTCGGTTGTCCCTCGGTCGCCTGCCCCCGCCCAGTCGACCTTCCTTCGGCCTGATCCCCTCCTCCGCGTGTAGTCAACGTCTTCTGAAGAGGACGTTGCCTGCCACTTTTTTCAAGTCCGGCACCGCCAACCTTCGATCTCGCTTGCCCTTGCTCTATCCTGCATCCTGGACGAGCAATCGTCCACTACCCCTGAGTCGTCAGCTTCCTCCCCGTTGCGAACTCATCCCCCGCTGACGCGTCGTGGTCATTCGCCACCTCATTCACTGAGTCCGACGACGAACGCGTCATCCCTTCTACCCCTTCTTCCATCCTTCTCGAGCTCGCATCCGTTCTCCCCACAACCGCCAACCGCTACGCCGCGAACTCGCCATGGCCGAACCCACCGACACGTCGCGAGACACCACCGCCCCCGTCCGCGAAGACCCCTCGCGCGCGAATCCGCCTAAGTCCCCGCCGACGCATTCGCCGCACCCGCTCCAGGCCGCCGCCGTCATCACGTCCCTTGAATCCCGCCTCGCAGAATCGGAAGCCCTGCGCCGCGACTCGGAGACACGCATCCGCAAATTGGAGCAGATGGTGGAACGATTGATGAGAGAATCCACCGCACCTGCTGGGGCGCAGGTCGGGGAGGCTCTGCCGGTGAGACCGGTCCCCCTGGACGTCCCCCCCGCACACATTTTTGGGACGCCCGGGAGCTGCCGCTGACCCCCTTGCTCGTACCCCTGGGGGGAATCTCACAGCGGAATTAGGGACGGCCCTTCCTCGGCGGTGATTAGCTCTCGTTGGAGAGGGACATTGCCGGACCGGGAAGGGTTATGGACCGGAGATCATCCGGAAAGGTTGGTGATTTTCACTGCGTTTGGGGAGTCGTATCTTTCTCTCTTGTGCGACATCTCCACCTCCGACCTTTTCGACACGAGCCGAGTGATCCAGCTTGTGGCGACGCTATTTTTTCGTACGACAACCCGACAGCGCCGCCAATCCCGCTCGATTGGGCCGTCGAGGCGATGAGGGACGCGCTTGGAGAAGGGCGCCCTCATTGTTGGACGTCGCTCATGAAGGCAGTGGGACGTCGTTGGCCCGACCCCGGGTTCGCCGATAGAGTGGCTCAAGACTTCCACGGATGTCGCCAGTCGTCGTCTCGGGCTTACGACCATGTCGGGGAGTGGCGGGCGCGGTACCGTGCCTTCGTGCACGACAACGATAGTTTCACCCTGTCGCCGCTTCAGCTCGCCACGACCTTCTACCAATCGCTCAGTGACTCCTCCAAGCGGGAAGTGCGGGCGGGAATGTTACGTGAATACCACGACAACTCGCTGGTGACAATTGGGCGATTCGGACTGAAGGTCCCGTCCATCGACGAGATTACCGAGTGGGCCGCTATCGCCGACGACATTTCTCCTCCGCCTTCGGTTCCGACCCCACCAAGCCGCACCGCGACCTATGGCGCGATCGTCAAAGCTCCCCGAGTGAGCCCACCTGCGACCAACACGCCCACCGTCGACGAGAGGTTCCCGATCCGACGAGCTCGATGGGTCGACCGCGCTACTAAGTGGCAGCAATCGCACTTGTGGAAGGACCGCTCCACCTGGTTTTCCCCGGCGCCCAGCGGGGTACCCACCAGCATGGCTTGCTTCAACTGCGGACGAGGCGGTCATTTCTCGCAGCACTGCACCGCGGAGCGTCAATCCCCGGTCGCCGTCCAACTCTCAGCGGTCGCTGTGGCCGACTTGGATGACGAAGATTGGTCCTCGGTCGCAGGTGGTGACGAGGATCCCGAGGTGAGAGTCCCCATTTCACTCGAGCGTGTTCAGACTCGACCTTTGAGTTCCGTTTCCGCTTCAATGACGCGCCCTTCTTGCCCTCCCGCAGACCCCGTTGGCCGAATGAAAGAAGGGGCTTCTTCTTCAGTCGACGTCGAAGTCTCATCAAGTAATCCGCAGCCAACCGCGCCGGCAAGTGATGCAGATCTACGTCGTCTTGCCGATGACTCGACCGACTCTGCGTTTGACGCGGTGGAAGACGTCCCCTCTTATGCTGATGCCGCGTCGCGAATGCGGCGATACTGGGGGCCGGAGGTGGTGTCGTCGCGCAAAGCGGAGAGGACTGCATCGGTGAGCTCTGTTCGTGTTCCGGTGCCGTTGGGGGTTTCTCTCTTGGAGTCCGACACGCCCCTGATCGACGTCGACGACTTCGCCCGACCCGCCGAGCCCGCGATTGTGCGCGCCCGCAATATTATTGCGTGGACGTTGCCGTCTGGGCGAACGCTGCGTTGCCTCGTCGACTCTGGTTCGGAAGTGGACTTGGTGGATCAGGATGTCGTGCGAACAGACCCGAGTTTCACGACGTCCCGCCTTACCGCGCCGCTGCACTTGCGCCTCGGCACTCGCGACAAATCTGACCGCTGCGCCGTGTTTGCCAACGCCCTCTTCACGTCCGGTTCCCTCGACCTCGGCTTGCGGGCGTTTTTCATTTGCCGTGTGACGGCATATGATGCTATCCTGGGTTTGCCGTTTCTGAAGGACACCGGCATGCTGGTAGGCTGGGGCGTCTTCACCGTCGCACGGCCGGGCCCTTCGCAGCCGGTCGCCAAGGGCACTCACGAGTGGGATCGCGCAGTCACGGTGGCGCCCATCTGCTCCGGCTCTGCCATTGGCTACGATCACCCAGGGTTGCTTCCTGACGACGAGATCATTGGCCTCGAGCCGCACAACCCTCTACTGGATGTCGTCGACGACCCGGCGCTCGAGGATTTGTCTGAGTCCGAAGCACGAACACGATTGGCTGCCTTACTCGAGAAATACTCTGATGTGTTCGTAGATTCGCTCCCAATGGACCGACTCCCGCCTTATCGACCCGTCAATCACGAAATCCCTTTGATCGACCCCAACGAGAAGGTCAAGCCGAGGGTCTATCCCCTTGCCGACAAATATCGTAGCCAGTGGGCGGAGCATTCAGCTAAGTACACTCGCGGTCGCTTCTGGGTTTCTGGTCCGATCGACTCTGCGGCTCCGGTCTTCGCCATTCCGAAAAAGAACTCCCAGACCGCTCGCTTTGTGATCGACCTCCGCGCTCGCAACAGCAACACCGCCAAGCGTTTTTCACCTATCCCCGACATGACCAGTGTTCGCTACGAAGTGGCACGTTCGCGCTACCGGTCCAAATTCGACGTGGCCGCAGCGTTTGAGCAGGTGCGGGTCATACCCGAGCACGTCGATCGCACCGGCTTCGCCACGGTCACGGGCACGTACACGTCGCGGGTGATGCAGTTTGGGGACACCAATGCGCCCAACACCCTGAACTTGTTGACATCGGCGATGTTTCAGCCGTGCCTCTCGTTTGCCAAGATCTTTTTCGACGATGTTCACGTTGTTGAACTTCGCTCCATCTCACTTCTAGGACAATATGCGCTCACTGAAGTAGAGGTGCCTCGCCTTTTGGTGCAGTGGTATATTGTTCCTTCATAGGTTATGAGCCCAGAGCAACCAGCAGGTCATGAGTTCATCCCCCTGGGTCAGGCAATTTTGCGCGCATACACTCAGCGTCCCGGCCCCGCACTTGCCCAGCAGCGTGCCAAGCACCCTGGCGCATCGACAGTGCTCACAGTGCCCAAGCTGCACTTGCCCAAGCGACCTGATCACATGCCCAGTTGCCTCACAAGCCGCACCACTGCCACAAGCTCTTCAGCTTCGCGCACAGGGGGTGTTGAACTTCGCTCCATCTCACTTCTAGGACAATATGCGCTCACTGAAGTAGAGGTGCTCGCTTTTGGTGCAGTGGTATATTGTTCCTTCATACACGTCCATTCCGATACTCGTCGCGCGCACTTAAGACACATCGAGATTTTGCTGATGACACTGCGACATTATCGGTTCTACTTAGGATCCAACAAATCCGAGTGGTTCTCAAAGTCGTTAGATTCCTTGGGCGCGATCATCTCCGACGACGGCATCGAGGTCGACCCGGCCAAGTGGGAGCGTATCCGACAGTGGCCGACTCCACACAACAAGACCGACGTTCAGCGTTTCCTCGGCACCGTGAATTGGATGCGAGATCACCTGCCCCACCTCTCGATCACCTTGGAGCCCATCACCGCATTATTAGCGCAATCGACGTCGTGGCGTTGGAACGAGCGCGAGCAGCAGGCCTTCGACACCGTCAAGTCCCTCGTGCCAGCAACACTGCGACCGATCGACGGCGCTAAGGTCACCTCCGGCGAGCACAAAATCTACTTGTTCACCGATGCCAGTCGTGTTGGCATTGGCGCTTGCCTGGCCTCGGGCCCCACTCGTTCGCAGGCCATTCCTACGCGATTCTTCTCCGCTAAGTTCAATGGCGCTCAGCTCAATTATCACGTCACTGATAAGGAGTTCTTAGCCGTCGTTTCGGCGTGTCGGGCGTTCGAGCAGCACTTGATCGGTTACCCCTTCGTCATCGTCACCGACCACCAAGCCCTTCGCACGATTAAAACGCAGAAGTTACGCCAAACACCCCGGCACATCCGCATGTGTCTCGAACTCAGCCGTTTCGACTTCGAATTCGAATTCATTGCGGGCAAGAACAACTCCCTTGCCGATTCGTTGTCACGCTTGTGGGAAGTCAAGGAGGGATCGCCCGAGGATCAGGTCAAGGAGAATGAGTTGGAGGATATGTTCTTTGATGGAGAACGCCACGGATTCACTACACACGGTGAGAGCCTCCCTGAGGAACGTCCTTACACCTCACCATCTCCCGATCGGTTGCCTCCTGTTGATTTTGCCTTCGGGCCCCAACGCGACGATTGCGAGGCAGGCTCTCCCGGATACTACGCGCTCAAGGACGAATCGCAAGACGAGGACGTGAATGGACGGGATTTAGGGAATTTGTTCTTGAAGGAAGAATGCCACGAGTTCACTACACCTGGTGAGAGCCTCCCTGAGGAACGTCCTTACACCTCACCTTCGCACGATCGGTTGCCCCCTGTTGATTGTGCCTTCGGGCCCTGGGATCACGGCTACGACGCAGGCTCTCCCGGTTCCCATCGTCTGGCCGAGAACATTATGGACGCCGTCGACTCTTCTACCGGTCCCCTTTCTCCTCCCATCGCCGTCAATCGAGTTCATGCTATCGCCGCGGCCCCCGCCAACGACGCGCCCATTCCAGTCGATGCCGACGCCGATGAACTCGACTTACTGGGAGCCGCCGCCGATGAGGTCAACGACGCCCCTGTAGTCCATCGACCGCCCGACCCGCTGCCGCAACCTTTCCTCGACGCCGTCATCCGAGCCTACGCCCACGATTCGCAAGCCCAAGTCATTGTTGACGACCCGCTGTCATGGCCGATGTTTCGGGTGACCGAGGAAGGGAGGATCTTGCGTGTACATCCAGATGAGTCTCTTTCCCTGTTTGTGCCTCGCGGTCTCGCTACCGGCGTTGTCGACTCCGACAAGCTCCCATCGCTGCGCGAGCTCGTGCTTTCGGAGATCCATCGGAGCGTCGGGCACGCGGGACATCGCATCACCTTGGCCGCCATACGTCCTTTGTATTGGTGGTCGTCCATGTCTGCCGATTGCGCCAAGTTCTGCCATTCATGCGAAGATTGTGCCCGAGGCAAAGCGTCCACTCAAGTCCCTTATGGCCGACTGCATCCGATGCCGATCCCTTCTGGCCCATGGGAACAAGTGGCCATCGACTTCATGACGGGACTGCCTCCGGTCGAGTTCGAAGGGATGATGGTCGCTCAAATCATGGTGGTCACTGACACTTGGGGCAAGATGGTCCACCTGATTCCCCTCCCAGCCGACGCCGACTCCGAGCTCGTTGCCGACAGGTACTACGCCACCATCTTTCGACTGCATGGGACGCCTTCCGCCATCGTTTCCGATCGCGATCCCAAGTTCACCTCGCAGTTTTGGCGAGCATTGCAGGCGAAGGTCGGCACCGTCTTGCGGATGTCAACAGCGGCGCACCCAGAGACCGACGGATCGAGTGAGAACCGAATCAAGATGGTCACCCAAACCCTGCGCATCATGGTGTCGTCAAACCACGAGGCTTGGGCATCTCGTCTTGTTGAAGCTGAGTTCGCTCTTAACTCTTCCGTTGCTGTTTCCACGTCTCTGTCGGCTTTCGAGGCGACTTACGGTTACCTTCCTCGACGCTGGCCCACCGATTCCTGGTCTGTCTCGGACGTCCCGCGTGCGGAAGCGTTTGCCCGAATCCGACAGTTACGGAATCTCGACGTCACGGATGCGATCATTGGTGCACGCCTCGATCAGACTCACCAGGCCAACAAGCATCGACGCCCGGATGATCCCGCCTTTCGGACCGGCAGTTATGTCTATCTTTCGACCAAGAACCTGGCAGTTCCTGAAGGGATGAAGTCGAAGTTGTTGCCGCGCTACATTGGTCCTTTCCGTATCCGAGCGGCCATTCCAGCGACGTCCAGTTACGACCTCGAGCTTCCCCCAGCAATGTCGCGAGTGCACAGTCGCTTCCATGCTCGACTGCTTCGCCCCTATGTTGAGAACGATGCTGAGAGGTTCCCTGGGCGTGACCCCGCAGTTCTTTTTGTTGAAGATGTAGCCGACGCGGCCGACAACTCCGCCATTCCGGAACGGATTGTTCGCGATCGTCGGAACGCTCGGGGCAATCGTTCGTTCTTGGTTCGATGGATTGGCCGTAAGGACATCGATGACACTTGGATGTCAGAGCAGTCCCTCCGCTTCGACCATCCATCCCTACTCGACGCCTACCTGGCACAACTCGATCGCTCAAATCGCCGCCTGTCCTCCCGGTAGACTTCCTTCTGGGGGGGACAATGTCAGGCAAACAGCGATACACTGACAGCAACACTCGAAGGAAGTCCCTGAGGTAATGTGCAGGTAGAGTTGAGGTCACCAAATGCTTCCCTCCATTCAAGCATTGTGGGCGTGATGGCGTAGTCGTTCGGCGCGCGGGCGCGCACTTAATGGTCGCGGGTTCAAGGCGCGCAGAGCGCAATCTTCTCTCGGTTTTTGTTCTTTTTGTTAGCTGAGGCGCGGCCTCAGGGTTTTTACCGGTGCTCCCGCGAGCAATCCTTTTTCCCCCTGAGGCGACCTCTTGGAGTAGCTGAATTGGCTAAGTCCCCTCTGCGCCTGAGTGCCTCCCTTTTGTTTTTAGCACCTTCCCACTCAGCCTGGTCCGCTACATCTCCCAAGATCCCTTCACCTTCATCCTTCGTTTTCGATCTCGTTGGCAATAAAGTCCGATATACTTGACTTGCTGCGAGCCTCACAACCGCGTCCCCTCCTCGGTTGTCCCTCGGTCGCCTGCCCCCGCCCAGTCGACCTTCCTTCGGCCTGATCCCCTCCTCCGCGTGTAGTCAACGTCTTCTGAAGAGGACGTTGCCTGCCAGTCGTCGTCGTCTGTGGCGATGAAGGCGCGGTGTTGTTGGGTGAGGAAATCGATTTCATCCGGCGATTCATCGCGCGAGTGACGCCCAATGATGTCGAGTTCGTCGGGCGACTCCTCAGCCGATGCGGGCTCACGGTACGTGCTGAAGTCTGGGCGGTGCACGTCCGGTGGGCCAAGGCGAGTCGGGGTCTGTGAGCCGATGAGGTCCAGAGGGTCGGCGGAGTAGTCAGAGTCGGTCGGTGAGACCGAGGGTGACGATGACGCTGCCAACGACGGTGACAGCGCAGGCGACGGTGACAAAGGGTTTGTGGGCGACGGTGACGAGGACGGCTCAGGAGACGGTGACGAGGACGATTCGGTATCTGTGGAATTAAGTAAGGTTCCGCCAGTGTACCCTGGGGCCACGTCAACGGCGCTCATGGCAGAATCATCAAGGGAGGATGAGACGTCCATGTGCGCCGACCTTACTAGTGGGGTCCTCGTCTTGACGGCAGGGGCGGGCGTGTCGGCGGGAACGACGAACTGACGGTCGGTGTCGTCTGCATCGACGGGCGTGGTGACTGGCAGGCCGGGGAAGTCGTCGTCGAGGAAGGTGGCATTGCGACCAAGTACAATCTTGTTGATGGAATGGTCAAAGAAACGGAAAGCTTTGGAGGCGAGGTCGTAACCTGTGAAGATCACGCGCGCGGCCTTGGGGTCGAGCTTGCTGCGAAGGTCCGGGGCGACCGTGAGCCAGGCTGTGCAGCCGAACGGGTGGAGGGCGGTGGCGGTGGTGCGTTGGCCGTTCCAAACGGATTCTGGAGTCTGTTTGGCCAAAGCTGAGTGTGAGCACCTGTTTTTGCAATAAACGAAATACGCAGCCGCTTCATCCCAAAAGGTGGCCGGCAGACGGGCGTCCGCAAGGAGAGCGAGGACGCCCTCGACGATGGAGAGGTTGACACGTTCGGCGCGACCGTTTTGTTGAGGCGTGTAAGGGATAGAGTATTGACGACGAATGCCCTTGGATTTGCAGAACTCCGTGAATGCGTTTGATCGGTACTCCCTGTGAAGAGTCCACTCTCAGCTCGACAGGGGCGCCTCGGTCGTTGCGCGCGCCTGCTAGCCTGGCCCCTGTGGTGGGGACTTAGGCGCGCGCGAGTGCCTCAGCGCGCCGGCGCCGGCGGTTTTCGGGCGCGCGCCGCTAGCCCGCCCTTGCAGTGGGGACTTAGCCGCGCGCGACTGCCTCAGCGCTCCAGCGATTTCGCCCGCGCCTGGGCATATCCCAGCGCGGGCCACCTTTCCATTTCTTAGCTTCCTTCTCATCACTTCTGTTCGACTCTCGACTTCTCCTGACAGTAGTGGTGATCATCTCATAGGTACGCTGAAATAGATCACTTCTGTTCGACTCTCGACTTCTCCTGACAGTAGTGGTGATCATCTCATAGGTTATAAGCCCATCGAGCTACCGCTGGCATGGACACGTCGTCAACCCTCGCGACGAGCGCCAACCCGACAATTCCCGCCGAACAGCTTGCCGCACTTACATCGCTGCTGTCGGGACTCACCGCTGCCGCTTCCGGCACTACCGCACCCGCCACGACATCCGGCTCCAATCGCAATGCCTTCCCGAAGCATGCGCGGTTGGACGGGCCGAAGACGTTCGCGAACTGGACACGCCAGCTTCGCCTGTGCCTAGCGGACGACATCCGCTCCTACGTCCTCGACGGAATCACCCCCGACGATTGGACGCCTTCGCAACGCTCCGCCCGCGACGTCGTGGCACGCGAGATCCTTGCAAACTCAATCGACTCGGCCGAAGTCTCGGCAGTCCTCGACAAGATCCCTACGGCCGACCTCACAGCGCCCAAGATTTACTCGACGCTGAAATCGCGATACGCCCCTGATGACGCCACTCGCACGCTCGAGCTCTTCTCGCGACTCTGGGGCTTCCGACCCATGCCCGGAACGGTTGGCGAATTTGACAGTTGGATCATGGACTTCAAGTCGGTCGCGCAAGAGATCATCGATACGAAAACGACGATCAACGACGTCCTTGCCACACTCCTCCTCGCGATCGCCCACCCGTCACTCGAGAGCTTCAAGGCAACGTTCACCGACGAACAACGCACGCAACGAACTCTCCCTGACATCGATTCAGTGGCCGACCGTATGCGAGTTCAACTCCGGTCAACGAACCTCTCCAACGATCAATCGGCCCTCCTTGCCTCGTCGTCGCCACGTTCTACCCGTACCAAGTGCCTCGCCTGTCGCAGCCCTTCTCACCGCGTCGCACAATGCCCTACAAGGGCCCAGCATCCACCGCCAGGCCCGTGTCGCTCCTGCAAGAAAAAGGACCACTGGTCTTTCGACTGCAAAAAGGCTCTTGAGGACGGGAAAACGCCCGACACCTCTGATGCGCAACACCATGTCGGATGTCTCGCCACCGGTCTTCTCGCACATCGTCGTCAGCTTCGCAACAACTCCTTCGTCGTCGACTCGGGTGCCACTTCGCACATGGTCTCGGACAAGTCGCTGTTCACGGCCTATCGCCACATCGCTCCTACGAAGATTGGTGGTATTGCAGGGGGCATCAACGCCGTCGGAACGGGAAACATCGCCTTTGTTGCCGCCTCCGGTCACCCGATCACGCTTACCGGCGTGCTGCACACCCCGGGCCTGTCTGTCAACCTCCTCTCGGTCTCTCGACTTTGCGACACCGACGATGTCCGTGTCGCCTTCACGAAGCACGGCATCCATATCGACAAGAACGGCAATGCTATCGCTGAAGGCGCAAGACTCGAGGAAGGGCTCTACTTGCTGGACGCTGATCATTCCAAATGTCAGCATCTCGCTCTCCTCTCTCGCTCACAGTCTTCCGTGCCCCTGCTGACCCTTCACCGCTGCCTCGGCCATCTCGCACCGTCGTCCATACAGAAGATGGTTGCCGCTGGTTTGCTGGAAGGTCTCGGGGCCGGATATAGTGACGAAGAGGTAGAGAAGTTTGTCTGCAATGCTTGCCTCAGTGCAAAGGGCCATCGTCTTCCTTTTCCCGATTCGGACTCGCACTCCTCAGAAGACTCGGCCTCGTACACAGCGATGTGCTTTCCTTTCCCGAGTCGTCCTTGACTGGCAAGCGTTACCTGGTCACGTTTCTTGACGACTTCTCGCGCAAACTGTGGGCATACGCGATCGGACACAAAAGCGAAGTCTTTGGCGTGTTCAAGACATGGCTTGCCGAGGTCGAACTCGAGACGGATGCAAAACTGAAGGTCCTCCGAACCGACAATGGTGGCGAATACTGTTCGAAAGCGTTCACGGAATTCTGTAAGGCACGCGGCACACGTCGACAATACTCTATCCCTCGAACGCCTCAACAGAACGGTCGTGCCGAACGAGTCAATCGTTCTATCGTCGAAGGTGTCCTTGCCCTCCTTGCAGACGCCCACTTACCCAAATCATTCTGGGAGGAGGCAGCAGCTTATTTCGTCTACTGCAAGAACCTGTGCGAACACTCGGCCCTGGACAAGGCAACACCGAACTTCGCCTGGCAGGGCGACCGCACCAACGCCTCGGCGCTTCACCCGTTCGGCTGCACGGCTTGGCTCACAGTCGCGCCTGAACTTCGCTCGAAACTCGACCCGAAAGCGGTTCGCGTTCTCTTCACCGGCTATGACCTGGCTTCTAAAGCCTTCCGTTTCTACGACACGACGACCAAGAAGATCAGTTTGGGCAGAAATGCCAGGTTCCTCGACAACGAATTTCCCGGGTTACGTAGCGACTCCACCGAGCAAGACGCCGACACGCACTTCGCCAGCGCTTGCCCGACCACCGAATCCCAAGCCGTTGTCAAGACATGGACCCCACTAGTAAGGTCGGCGCACATGGACGTCTCATCCTCTCTTGATGACTCTGCCATGAGCGCCGTTGACGTGGCCCCAGGGTACACTGGCGGAACCTTACTTAATTCCACAGATGCCGAATCGTCCTCGTCACCGTCTCCTGAGCCGTCCTCGTCACCGTCGCCCGCAACTCCCTTGTCACCGTCGCCTGCGCTGTCACCGTCGTTGGCTGCGTCATCGTCACCCTCGGCCTTACCGACCGACTCTGACTACTCCGCCGACCCTCTGGACCTCATCGGCTCACAGACCCCGACTCGCCTCGGCCCACCGGACGTGCACCGCCCAGACTTCAGCACGTACCGTGAGCCCGCATCGGCTGAGGAGTCGCCCGACGAACTCGACATCATTGGGCGCCACTCGCGCGATGAATCGCCGGACGAAATCGATTTCCTCACCCAACACCACCGCGCCTTCATCGCCACCGACGACGACAACTCTGACACAGAAGCCATTCAACCAGTCAAGTCCATCACCAGCGACCCACAGACATGGCGCGAGGCAATGTCGAGTGACAAGCGCGAAGTGTGGGCCAAGGCCGCTACCGACGAGTTCAATTCCATGCGCGACGACTTCAAGGTCTTCACCATCGAGGACCGATCCACGGTACCAGCGGGTGCGACCATCGTCACATCCAAGTTCGTCTGGAAAACGAAACGGAATGCACTCGGCGAAGTCACCGGCCACAAGGCACGGCTCGTGGCGCAGGGAAATCGGCAACGCGACGGCATCGACTTCAACGAAACCTTCGCACCAGTCGCACGCTTCTCCTCGATACGCTCACTCCTCGCGCTGGCGGCCGCCAACGGCTTGCACGTGCACCAGGCGGACATCGACAAAGCCTATCTGCATGGCGACCTTGACCATGACATCTGGATGACGACACCGCGCGGCTTCGACCTTCCCACCGACAAGGTGCTTCGTCTGCGACGCTCCATCTACGGACTCAAACAGGCTGGCCGAATCTGGAATCGACACATCGACGCATCGCTTCGAGATCTCGGCTATACGGCGACGGGCACCGACCACTGCGTGTACTCTCGGATCGACGATCGGCGACGCCCACACTACATCGCGCTGTACGTCGACGACCTCCTGATGATCAGCCCCGACTTGGCCGAAATTGAACGTGTCATCTCGGGCCTCGAACAACGCTACGGCGTCAAGCGCCTCGGCCCGGCAGAGTACATCCTCGGCATCCAGATCAGGCGACTCGAAGACGGTTCTATTGCCCTGTCCCAGGAACGGTACATCATGGACGTGCTTGCTCGGTTCCACTTCGACACCACGACTCGCGGCACTACAGTCCCGATGACCCCCGGCCTTTCGCTCACCGCCATCCCGGGTCAAGGCACCGAACGGATCAGGTCATGGTATCTGCAGGCTATCGGCTCGCTCCTCTACATTTCGCTCGGCACCCGCCCCGACATCGCCTTCGCCGTGTCCTACCTGGCCCGCTTCGCCAACAACCCTGGACGTCGTCACTGGATCGCGGTCAAGCACATCCTCCGCTATCTCCGGGCCACATATCGCGACGAACTGGTTTATGCTTGCGGCGAGACACGCATCACGGGCGTGGTTGGCTACTCCGACGCGAACTGGGGGCCTGCGTCGATACGTCGGTGTCCACTATGGGCTACGTCTTCTACATTGCCGGATCCGCCGTGTCTTGGTCGTCCAAGCGTCAATCTCGAGTTGCCGATTCTACCACCGACGCTGAATACCTCGCCCTCTCGCATGCTGGCAAGGAAGGGATCTACCTCAGTCAGCTGCTCGAGGAGCTCCATGTCCAACCTGTTGCACCGGCTCACATTTTTACTGACAATGAAGCCGCTGCCGCAGTTGCCCACGACCCTGTCCGCGTCTCCGGCACTCGACACATACGCTTGCGCGAGCACTTTGTTCGGGACATGGTGAATCGGGGCGATATCTCACTCTCGCATGTGGGAACCAGCAACATGGTGGCCGACATCTTCACAAAGGCTCTTGGCCCAAAGATTTTCTCGACACACTGCTACGCACTAGGCCTTCGCACTCGACACCCACGGCTTGGATCTGCCTCGCATTCGCGTGGGGGGGGGTGTGAAGAGTCCACTCTCAGCTCGACAGGGGCGCCTCGGTCGTTGCGCGCGCCTGCTAGCCTGGCCCCTGTGGTGGGGACTTAGGCGCGCGCGAGTGCCTCAGCGCGCCGGCGCCGGCGGTTTTCGGGCGCGCGCCGCTAGCCCGCCCTTGCAGTGGGGACTTAGCCGCGCGCGACTGCCTCAGCGCTCCAGCGATTTCGCCCGCGCCTGGGCATATCCCAGCGCGGGCCACCTTTCCATTTCTTAGCTTCCTTCTCATCACTTCTGTTCGACTCTCGACTTCTCCTGACAGTAGTGGTGATCATCTCATAGGTACGCTGAAATAGATCACTTCTGTTCGACTCTCGACTTCTCCTGACAGTAGTGGTGATCATCTCATACTCCCCGCCATTGTCGGTTCGAAGGATCCTCAACCGCGCGTTCGTCTCTAACTCCACTTCGGCGAGCCAAGTCTGGAAGGTCGGGAAAACATCGCTTTTGTGATCGATCGCATATGCCCAGAGTTTGCGAGAGTGGTCGTCTAGAAACGTGACAAGGTAGCGCTTCCCGGTCAAGGACGGAGTGGGGAACGACAGGACGTCGCTGTGCACGAGGCCAAGTCTCTCGGCGGAATGCGACTCAGAGTCGGGAAAGGGAAGGCGGTGACCTTTGGAACCAAGGCAAGCATTGCAAACAAACTCCTCTACGTCTTTGTCACTGTACCCGGCCCCAAACCCGTCCAGCAAACCTGCAGCAATCATCTTCTGTATAGAGGATGGGGCAAGATGGCCGAGGCAGCGGTGTAGGGTAAGCAGGGGCACGGGAGACTCAGAGCGTGAGAGGAAGGCAAGATGCTGACACTTGGTGTGATCCGCGTCCAAAAGGTAAAGACCGTCGTTGACCCTGGTACCGTGAGCAATGGCCCGGCCGTCCTTGGCGATGTCGATGCCGTCGCTGGTGAAGGCGAGACGAACGCGGTCGGTGTCGCAGAGGCGAGAGACAGAGAGGAGGTTGACGTGTAGGCCAGGCGTGTGAAGAACACCACGGAGCGTGATCGGGTGTCCAGTCTTGGCGACGAATGCCACGTCCCCCATGCCGATAGCCGTGATGCCGCCCGCGATGCCGCCGATCTTGGTGTGTGCCGTCTGACGATAAGTCGTGAATAGAGATCGGTCGGCGACCATGTGTGTCGTGGCACCCGAATCGACTACAAAGGCGTCAGTTGGGAGTTGGCGACGAGCGAAGAGGCAGGAGGCGAAATAGCCGACGTTCGGTTGCGAGGCCGCGGAGGAAGACGTGTCGTCCTGGGTGTCGTCGCTGCTACGTGCCTGTTCACCCCGGTTCTTGCAGTCGAGTGCCCAGTGACCTTTCTTTGGCATCGGCGGCAGGGCCGGTGGGCGGGTGCTTCGCACGTGAAGTGCAGTCGCGCAGGCGGTGACCGGGAGCGCGGCAGGCGGGGCAGGGGGAGCTGGTGGCAAGCATGGCCGAATGCGAGGTCGAGAGTCCTGCCGAACGAAGCTGGATGCGAATGCGGTCCGTAAGCGTCGTGAGTTCGGAAGGTCGCGTCGGTTTCGCTGCTCGTCCGTGAACGTGAGTCGGAAGCTGTCGAGGCAGACGGGACCATGGCGAGCACGTGGTGGCGAGCAGTCGTTGAGCGATGTTTGGCGTCGCGTATTTCCTGAGCAATCGACATGTACTCGCGTAGCCAAGTGTCGTAGGCCTCGACGGAGGCAGGCATCTTCCTGAAGTCCCAAAGGCGAGCGAACAACTCGAGAGTGCGTGTAGCGTCGTCCGGTGCAAAACGAGCCTTGAGAGCGGCAAAGATGCGCGGTGCCGACAGGTCGTCGCTGGGGATGGCGTCGAGGGTGGCGATACGTCGGCGGAGTCGATAGAGCCAACGATGATTTCCCGGGCGGCGTCGTCACGTGCGGCAAGCTGGTCGGCGGTCCAGGTCGGGGGAACGACACCGTCGAGAACGTAACCACGAACCTGGTTCGGGAGTGCAAGACGGAGTTGACGCAACAGTTGGTGAACGACTTGGGGCCGTCCAGACGAGCGTGCTTGGGAAACACGACCTTGGATGCGGTGGCGGCGTTCCCCGCACGACGGTGACGGCCGGGGGTGCGGCGGCTGCGGCGGCGGCGGGTTGCGAGGCCTGCAGAGCGGCAAGCTGGGCCTGTAGAGTGGCGATTTGTTCGCCGATCGAAGATTCAGGGGAGCTGGGATCCCTGGGGGCCAAAGGCGAGGCGGAGAGCTGTCCATGATGTGATGGTGCGATGGACGTGTGCGGCTCGAGGCTGGGCTCGAGCGAAAAAGCCTCAAGCGGCGGGGCTGGTAGCTCGTGGGCTTATAACCTGTTCGATCAACCTACTACGTCACGATGTAGTTATAGCCAAAGTGATGAATGCATTTCAACATACCTATTCGATCAACTCTACACGTCAGCGATGTAGTTATAGCCAAGAGTGATGAATAGGAAGCTAACAATAAGAGACCCGCGCGCCCCAAGTCCACAGCCAGCGAGCCTGGGGCTGAGCCAATGGCCCAGGCTCGCTCCGCGCGCCTAAGTCCCAGGCTCGCTTCGCGCGCCTAAGTCCTGGGCCGGGGCGCCCGGCTCACTCCGCGCGCCTAAGTCCGCGCCCGGTTCGCTCCGCGCGCCTAAGTCCTGAGCCGAGCGGAGAGTGGATTCCTCACACGAATCGGCAACTCGAGACTGGCGTTTGGACGACCAGGACACGGCCGAGCCAGCGATGTAGAAGACGTAGCCCATGGTGGACACCGATGTGTCGATGCAGGCCCCCCAGTTCGCGTCGGAGTAGCCTACCACACCCGTGATGCGAGCCTGGCCGCGAGCATACACGAGTTCGTTGCGATACGTGGCCCGGAGATAGCGTAGGATGTGCTTGACCGCAATCCAATGACGACGACCGGGGTTGTTGGCGAAGCGGGCCAGGTAGGACACGGCGAAGGCGATGTCAGGGCGGGTACCGAGCGAAATGTAGAGGAGCGAGCCGATAGCCTGCAGATACCATGACCTGATCCGTTCGGTGCCTTGACCCGGGATAGCAGTGAGCGAAAGGCCGGGAGTCATCGGAACTGTAGTGCCGCGAGTCGTGGTGTCGAAGTGGAACCGAGCGAGCACGTCCATGATGTACCGTTCCTGGGATAGGGCGATAGAGCCGTCGTCGAACCGCCTGATCTGGATGCCGAGGATATACTCGGCCGGGCCGAGGCGCTTGACTCCGTAGCGTTGGTCCAGGCCTGAGATGACACGTTCGATTTCGGCCAGTTCCGGGCTGATCATCAGGAGGTCGTCGACGTACAGTGCGATGTAGTGTGGACATTGACGATCATCGAGCCAAGAGTATACGCAGTGGTCGGTGCCCGTCGCCGTGTAACCGAGGGCCCGAAGCGAAGCGTCGATGTGTCGATTCCAGATTCGGCCAGCCTGTTTGAGCCCGTAGATGGAGCGTCGCAGGCGAAGCACCTTGTCGCTGGGAAGGTCGAAGCCGCGCGGTGCCGTCATCCAGATGTCGTGGTCAAGGTCGCCATGCAGATATGCTTTGTCGATGTCCGCCTGGTGCACGTGCAAGCCGTTGGCGGCCGCCAGCGCGAGGAGTGAGCGTATCGAGGAGAAGCGTGCGACCGGTGCGAACGTTTCGTTGAAGTCGATGCCGTCGCGTTGCCGATTGCCTTGCGCGACCAGCCTTGCCTTGTGTCCAGTGACTTCGCCGAGTGCGTTCCGTTTCGTTTTCCAGACGAACTTGGATGTAACGATAGTCGCACCCGCGGGCACCGTGGCTCGGTCCTCGATGGTGAAGACCTTGAAGTCGTCGCGCATGGAGGTGAACTCGTCGGTGGCGGCTTTGGCCCATACTTCACGCTTGTCGCTAGACATCGCCTCGCGCCAGGTCTGTGGGTCGCTCGTGATGGACTTGACTGGCTGAATTGCCTCTGTGTCAGAGGTGTCGTCGTCGATGGCGATGAAGGCGCGGTGGTGTCGGGTGAGGAAATCGATTTCGTCCGGAGATTCGTCGCGAGAGTGGCGCCCAATGAGGTCGAGTTCGTCGGGCGACTCCTCAGCCGATGCGGGCTCGCGGTACGTGCTGAAGTCTGGGTGGTGCACGTCCTGTAGATCGAGGCGAACCTGGGGCTGTGAGCCGAGGAGGTCGAGGGGATCGGCGGAGTCTTCAGAGTCGGTCGGTAAGGCCGAGGGTGACGATGACGCAGCCGACGATGGTGAAAGTGCAGGCGATGGCGCAGACGACGGTGATGAGGGCGACGCAGGCGACGGTGACGAGGACGATTCGGCATCTGTGAAGTTAAGTAAGGTTCCGCCAGTGTACCCTGGGCCACGTCAACGGCGCTCATGGCAGAATCATCAAGGGGGGATGAGACGTCCATGTGCGCCGACCTTACTAGTGGGGTCCATGTCTTGACAACGGTTTGAGATTCGGTGGTGGGAGCGCTGGCGAAGTGCGTGTCGCCGTCTTGCTCAGTGGGGTCGCCATGTAATCCGGGGAATTCAGTGTCGAGGAACGTGGCATTTCTGCCAAGTATAATCTTCTGTGTTGTAGTGTCGTAGAAGCGAAAGGCTTTTGAAGCCAGGTCGTAGCCGGTGAAAAAAACGCGAACCGCCTTCGGGTCGAGTTTGGAGCGAAGTTCGGGCGCGACCGTAAGCCAAGCTGTACAGCCGAACGGGTGAAGCGCCGAGGCAGTGGTGTGGTCACCCTGCCAGACGGAGTTTGGTGTTGCCTTGTCCAGGGCCGCGTGTTGACACAGGTTCTTGCAGTAAACGAAATAAGCTGCAGCCTCCTCCCAGAATGTCTTGGGTAGGTGGGCGTCGACAAGGAGGGCAAGGACGCCTTCGACAATGGAACGATTGACCCGCTCTGCACGACCGTTCTGTTGAGGCGTGCGTGGGATAGAGTATTGTCGACGGGTGCCTCGTGTCTTGCAGAACTCTGTGAACGCTCTCGAACAGTATTCGCCACCGTTGTCGGTTCGGAGGACCTTCAGCGTCGCACCCGTCTCGAGTTCAACCTCGGCTAGCCAAGTTTTGAATATGCCGAAGACTTCGCTTTTGTGTCCGATTGCGTAGGCCCAGAGTTTGCGCGAGTAATCGTCAAGGAATGTGACCAGGTAACGTTTGCCAGTCAAGGACCGCTCGGGGAAGGAAAGCACATCGCTGTGTACAAGGCCGAGTCTCTCTGAGGAGTGCGAATCCGAATCGGGAAAGGGAAGACGATGGCCCTTTGCGCTGAGGCAAGCATTGCAGACAAACTTCTCTACCTCTTCGTCACTATATCCGGCCCTGAGACCCTCCAGCAAACCAGCGGCAACCATCTTCTGTATGGAGGACGGTGCTATGAGACGTTCACCACTACTGTCAGGAGAGGTTGAGAGTCGAACAGAAGTGATCTATTTCAGCGTACCTATGAGACGTTCACCACTACTGTCAGGAGAGGTTGAGAGTCGAACAGAAGTGATGAGAAGGAAGCTAAGAAACAGAAAGGGGGGGGCCACGCTGGGATAGTCCCAGGCGCGTGACAATGTACATCCCTAAGTCAGCCGCGGGTGAAATCGCCGGCGCGCCTAAGTCCCCACCGCAAGGGGGCGGGCTAGCGGGCGCGCGCATGAATCCGCCGGCGCTGGCGCGCTGAGGCAGTCGCGCGCGTCTAAGTCCCCACCGCCGGGGGCGGGCTAGCAAGTGCGCGCAACGACCGAGGCGCCCCTGTCGAGCTGAGAGTGGACTCTTCACACCCCCCCCCACGCGAATGCGAGGCAGACCCAAGCCGCGGGTGTCGAGTGCGAAGGCCGAGGGCGTAGCAGTGCGTTGAGAAGACCTTTGGGCCGAGAGCCTTGGTGAAGATGTCGGCCACCATGTCGCTGGTACCCACATGCGAGAGAGAGATGTCGCCCCGATTCACCATGTCCCGAACGAAGTGCTCACGCAAGCGTATGTGCCGAGTGCCAGAGACGCGGACAGGATCGTGAGCAACTGCAGCAGCGGCTTCGTTGTCAGTAAAGATGTGAGCCGGTGCAACAGGTTGTACATGGAGCTCTTCGAGCAGCTGACTGAGGTAAATCCCTTCCTTGCCAGCATGCGAGAGGGCGAGGTATTCAGCGTCGGTGGTCGAATCGGCAACTCGAGACTGGCGTTTGGACGACCAGGACACGGCCGAGCCAGCGATGTAGAAGACGTAGCCCATGGTGGACACCGATGTGTCGATGCAGGCCCCCCAGTTCGCGTCGGAGTAGCCTACCACACCCGTGATGCGAGCCTGGCCGCGAGCATACACGAGTTCGTTGCGATACGTGGCCCGGAGATAGCGTAGGATGTGCTTGACCGCAATCCAATGACGACGACGGGGTTGTTGGCGAGGGGTAGGCGAAGGCGATGTCAGGGCGGGTACCGAGCGAAATGTAGAGGAGCGAGCCGATAGCCTGCAGATACCATGACCTGATCCGTTCGGTGCCTTGACCCGGGATAGCAGTGAGCGAAAGGCCGGGAGTCATCGGAACTGTAGTGCGCGAGTCGTGGTGTCGAAGTGGAACCGAGCGAGCACGTCCATGATGTACCGTTCCTGGGATAGGGCGATAGAGCCGTCGTCGAACCGCCTGATCTGGATGCCGAGGATATACTCGGCCGGGCCGAGGCGCTTGACTCCGTAGCGTTGGTCCAGGCCTGAGATGACACGTTCGATTTCGGCCAGTTCCGGGCTGATCATCAGGAGGTCGTCGACGTACAGTGCGATGTAGTGTGGACATTGACGATCATCGAGCCAAGAGTATACGCAGTGGTCGGTGCCCGTCGCGTGTAACCGAGGGCCCGAAGCGAAGCGTCGATGTGTCGATTCCAGATTCGGCCAGCCTGTTTGAGCCCGTAGATGGAGCGTCGCAGGCGAAGCACCTTGTCGCTGGGAAGGTCGAAGCCCGCGCGGTGCCGTCATCCAGATGTCGTGGTCAAGGTCGCCATGCAGATATGCTTTGTCGATGTCCGCCTGGTGCACGTGCAAGCCGTTGGCGGCCGCCAGCGCGAGTGAGCGTATCGAGGAGAAGCGTGCGACCGGTGCGAACGTTTCGTTGAAGTCGATGCCGTCGCGTTGCCGATTGCCTTGCGCGACCAGCCTTGCCTTGTGTCCAGTGACTTCGCCGAGTGCGTTCCGTTTCGTTTTCCAGACGAACTTGGATGTAACGATAGTCGCACCCGCGGGCACCGTGGCTCGGTCCTCGATGGTGAAGACCTTGAAGTCGTCGCGCATGGAGGTGAACTCGTCGGTGGCGGCTTTGGCCCATACTTCACGCTTGTCGCTAGACATCGCCTCGCGCCAGGTCTGTGGGTCGCTCGTGATGGACTTGACTGGCTGAATTGCCTCTGTGTCAGAGGTGTCGTCGTCGATGGCGATGAAGGCGCG